CTGTCAATCATATCTGATAGAGATCCCCGGTTCACTTCGATGTTCTGGAGAGGACTTCAGAAGGCTTTTGGCACAGCTTTGAACCTTAGTACGGCATTTCACCCTCAGACCGATGGCCAGTCTGAGAGGGTGATACAGATTGTCGAGGATATGATGCGAGCTTGTGTGATCGACTTTGGAGAAGATTGGGAGCGTTACTTGCCGTTGATGGAGTTTGCATATAATAACAGTTACCAGGCGAGTATTCAGATGGCTCCTTATGAGGCACTCTACGGCAGAAAGTGCCGAACCCCGATTTGTTGGACAGAGCTTAGCGAGCGTAAGCTCGAGGGACCAGATATTGTGCAGGATACCGAGGAGAAGGTTCGTGTGATCAGAGACCGACTCCGCGCCGCTTCGGACAGACAGAAATCTTATGCAGACTTAAAGAGACGAGACATAGAGTACAATGTTGGTGACATGGTATTTTTTAAGGTTTCACCTTGGAAGAAGGTCCTACGGTTCGGGAAGAAAGGGAAGCTTAGCCCTAGATTCATTGGACCCTACCGCATTCTGGAGCGAATAGGACCTGTTGCTTACAGGCTAGAGTTGCCACCAGAGTTGAACAGGATTCACGACGTCTTTCATGTCTCCATGCTACGTAGATACCGTTCATATCCGACTCATGTGTTGCCGACCAATGCTGTAACCCTTGATGAGAGTTTGTCTTACGAAGAAGAGCCAGTTAAGATCTTGGCGCGCGAAACTAAAGTACTAAGGAATAAGACGGTACCTTTAGTAAAGGTACTATGGCGTAATCATGCGGTGGAAGAAGCAACCTGGGAGACCGAAGAATCTATGCGAACTCAGTACCCTCATCTCTTCGGCGACCAATGACTCAGGTAATTTCGAGGACGAAATTCTTTTTAAGGGGGGGGGAGAAATGTAACGCCCCGAAATCTGGCCCAAAAGAATTAATTAAATTGTTAGAGCAATTGATTACGAATTGGGCCCAAAAAGGGGTTAAAATTATAATTTGGATTCTAAGCCCAACTTTTATGTCATCTCGTAGGAAATATTTTTGTGATCGCGTCGGTTTAGACGGCTCGCGAATCGGAGTTTTGGAGCTCATGTTATGACCATTTAATCAGGTATTTTGGGTCCGAAGCCCAATCCTTTTAGGAATGGGATCATTAAATAAAACCTAAACCTATCTTCTTTCGTTCGGATCTGCGAGAACCGCACATCGTCATCTTCTTCTTCTTCATTTTCGGTCGTCCTTCCCCAGCCATCGCCGCAGCCTCTCCCTCGCCGGAAGTCCGTCGCCCACTGCCAGGGTTAGCGCCGCCGCCGACGGTTTCCAATCGCCGCTGCTTCCTTCGCTAGAGGTCCGCCGCCAGGTCCAGCGCCGCCGACCACGGTTCCCAATCTTCGAGCCGCGGTCGTCGCCTCCACTGCCAGCGTCGGTCGTCCTCGCCATCGAGCTGCAGCGCCGCTGTTTCGCCTTCGCCGGAAGTCCGCCGCTCATCACCGTCGAGCGCCGCCAGTCGTCGTCGCCCTTAGCTCAGGTCAGTTTCTTCTTCTTCTTCTTCTTCAGTTTCTTATTTCGGTTTGTCTCTATCCCCTCGATTTTGAACAAGGTAGACCGCCAATAGCTGCCGCTCCGCCACTGTACGCCGGCGTCCGCCACCGTCGCCGCACCCAGCCGCTGCCCTGGGTTGATACCGCCGGCAGATTTATCTCCACGCTAGATTGATTGGTCGATTTCGTGTTTTGACTCAATTTGACCCGTTGTTCGTTGGATTTCGTTGATTTGTCTTCCGTTCGAGCTATCGATTCGATTTCGGCGTAATCCAGGTCCGTACTATGAAGTTAATAGCGTTTAGAATAGATTTAATGGTTTGGATCGTTATATATGTTTATGCTATAATTTGGCTAAATTGGTTAATTGAATTAAATTGATTATTTGAATTGAATTATTGAGGATTGTGAATTGACTGAACAGGTTTGAGTTTGACTTGGGTTAGGTCACGTTTGACTTAGGCTTTGACTGGATATTCTGTTGACGTAGGTTTGACCGAATGGTTAAATCCAAGACGTTATTGAATTAATTAAGTTAATTAATTAATTCTAATCAGTAATTAGGATCAACTGGTTTATTATGTTGAACATAGAAACTGGCCATTGCCCGGGCGGCTGCAGGGCCTGGTCAGTGAGGTTAAGACGTGCGCACGAGGGTCTGTGATCTTGGGTTTGAGGCTATCGCCCGAGGGATCCTACCTCCACCGAATTGAGGCTATCTTCGGTATTACGGATTGAGGCTATCTCCGTCATAGGCAATAAATGTTAAGTGGTTTGACTTTCGTGAAGGTCTAAACTGGTTTGACCGGTGGTCAAAGAGTTAATGAGAAACCCTTAACACCTAAATCGTTTTGAAAAGAAAGAAAATAAGTTGATTCTTGGTCAACCGTCTAAAGGACCGAATGTAAAGTTGAATTGATTTTTATTAAAAGGATAAACATATGCGCGATCTTAATTGTTGAATTATTATGTTTATTCTTGTGCTACAATGGAGTGCCACTCAGCGTCAATGCTGAGCGGATAGCGTTGTTTTCCTTTTTGCTGTCCGTAGGTGATCAGACAGATGAACCTAGAGCCGATCCCAGAGGGCATTGAGGAGGAGATGTANTCTCTTTGATCTGTAGTTATGCTTTATTTAATTAACTTTAATGCTTATTACGTTTTCGGGCAAGATCCCAAGTTGTTTGACTTTAAAAAGGCTTCCGCATTATTTTAAATTACTCCGATGGATTTTTATATGTATTGATAGAACGTTTGTTTAAAATTGTTTTGAAAATGTTGTATATTCGGATACCAATCCAGTGGCACACCGGTCCGCTGTCTCACGGGTTTGGGTTATGCGAATTGGGGTGTTACACTAACCTTATTTCCCGTCGTGTTGGGAAATAGGCTACCACCCAACAACTTAAACATAATGGCTCTGGCATGCTGCAAGTAATCTACATCTAAACTATGATCTGTTAGTTGCTTAGGAACAATGGCAGACATCTTAATCATAGTAGAAGTAATATCGGAAGTTTGAGGCCGAAATCCCATCATGTCCTCACAAATCTGAATCCACTGGTCTCTGGATCGGCCAGTCATCCCCGCCAATGGATTGCCATCTACGGGCAATCCAAGTAAAACCTCTACATCCTGTAAAGTAATTCCAACCTCTCCGAAGGGAAGATGGAATGAATGGGTCTCTGGCCTCCATCTCTCCACTAGAGCTGTGATCAAAGCCCAGTCCAACTGCAACCCACCAACTTTCTCAACCCCATAAAATCCGTATTCTCGTAACAACTGAATCACACGAATCGGTCTATTAACAATAAGTGTCCTCGCATACAAGCTAGTACAAGTCCTATGACACTTTAATAGATGTTGAGCATATTCTTCACTGGCCCCTGCATCACACCTGTGTTCTCCCGCTTCAATTACTAGAACATCTCGGAAAATAGGTCCCGGATGTACATCCATTTGCTTCAAGGATTACAACATAAGAATATATTCAATGAATAAAAACATAACAAGACAATAATATAATAAAAAATCATGAAGTAACCACTTATACATACATACAAATTTGTATCAAATTTGTTACAAATATGTATCAAATTTGTAAGATTAAACTATATATTTGTCAATATTTTCACATCATCGAAACAAATATAACAAAAAAATCACATATACATACAATCTATGACTAAATATATTTCTTACAAAATCAATTTAAAACAATATTCAAAATCTTGTACAACAATAATAAAGAGAAAAAATTAAGAACAAAACGAAGTACCTGACTCCAGTCGGGTTGCCCGTCGATTCCTCTCTTCCTCGGCGTTTCCTTTTCCTCTCGTCCAGGCAACTGATGTTCTCTTCTCTCGCGTGCGTTTTCTGTTCTGTTTGGCAAAGGGAAGCCGAACGAGTGGATGGGAGGGGAGTAGATCTGAGATTTGAAGAGAAACGGAGTCACCAACTACGTCTCATTATTATTAAATCCGAACGGAGTAGCCTACTCCGTCTGGGAAATTATTTCGAAATTAAACGGAGTAGCCTACTCCGTGAAGCACTGCCAGGAAATAAAACACTGACTTACACTGCCAGGAAGTGTTTTTAATTTGTTTACATATATCGAGAGTTTACTCCAAAATTGCAATGTTCAAATACTCCTACAGAAACTACGCCGTTTCCAATTAGGTCAAATTTCATTACTTCAATCCCATCGCCGCCAAGAGCTATAAATCTGCACTATCCCATCTCCGCAAGAAGATCATTTTAGTGTGTTCCAAATCAATATTTGTCTTTTTCGAGCTGAATAACCTCAATCGATGCCTCTCTTCATAATAATTTGTTCGTGTTTTGGTTTAAACTTTGTTTGTTGATGAAAGAATGATGAGATCTCTGCATCAGCAGTGCAAACGCAGCGTCCCCAGAGGATGCAATGAGCGGCATTTTCCACACGAGATTTCTGACGCTATCAATCTAAACTGCCTTATATTTTTTCGTGTTTTTAATTTTTGTTTGTTTATCCTATCAAGAAATTTTGTATTTTTCTTGTTCCTAGAACATTCGCAGTGGATTTCTCAGTCTTTGTTTGAGCAAATCCTCATTTTTTGAAGTTTTCTTGCTATTTTTGTCTTGATTTATGTGATGAACACAATTTTATCCTGTAAATTTTCTTAGTTTTCCCACAATATAAGTGCTTTATGTGTAAAATATGTGGTTAAAATAATCCCAGAATTTATTGTCAAATCTATCTAAACTAACAAATTGGGTATATTTCTTTGTCATGGGTTAATTAATTGTAGTTTTTACTCTTTAGTAACAGTGCTATGAATTGTTTGAAGCTTAACCTTTTGCTCCTGTATTTTGGAAAAGCAATGCTGGAGTGTTCTGCAAAGCTTCAAATTGTAGTTTTTGTAAACAAGTCAGATACCCATTTTGACACTTTTTTTAAGTGCATATGGGAATCAACTTGGTGTGAAATTAGGTAGATCTCATCTAATGTGATTACTCACTGTTACAATAATATGCTTCTGATAAATTTCTGGGAGATCAAAATTTACCCACCAACACAGGGAGACCAAAATGGGTAATAGTTCTTCTCTGAATTGATGTTTTGTATTCAACTTTCTGGTTTATGTAATCCCTAAATGCAATAGAAAGCACCCTTTGTATTAATCTACTTTCTTTTTGGGTGGGTACAGTTTTGCATAATAAAGGAAGGCTGTGATTAGAAAGAGAGAGGATTGAGTGTGGAAAATTCCTTACTGTGCCATAACAGGGAAAGAGTCTCCAAATGAAAAGCAGGTTGGAGGAAATGTGCTGCCTCCTTCAAATAAGGTCTTTGGTGGCTAGTTACCTCCAATGTGCATCTTTCCCCTTTTTGCCCATGGAAGGGATTTCCTCACAATGAGTAGCCTTTATAATCTACACTTGATATGAGCCTTCAATTTTGTATAGGGAAAAGATGTCTTTGGTGGCTAGTTTGATCAATTGCCTGTTGTCTTATACTGGGTATTTTCTTCTTTTCATATTTTCCAAGGGATTTTGTCAATATTTTTTTAAAGATCATTATTTTATTATAGAAGAGAGAAACAACAAAGGGAAGGACAAGGACCAAAGCCCCTTAAGATTACACATGGTGTGCATAAAGATTGCTAATGGCATCAAAGCCCTATTATTGCTTGTGCCCACCATGTTTTTTTATTTGTTTGTGATTGTTACATGTTTTCAGATTAATGAGAAGCTCTAAGAGTGGCAAGCAAAAGTCTGGGAATAATTGTTCTTAAAAAGGCAAAAGACTAAAGTAGGACTAAAACATTAGAAATATACCAAAATAGGATTTACATTACCATACATGAGCATATACATTATCAAAAAAGTATAGTAATTTGCACATATACACTGCCATATTACAACAGGACATAGTCACATTACCGCAGTGCAAAGTCTTATTTCGGAAAAAAACATGAAAGTCCTATTTTAGTATTTTTCTCTTGTCTTAGTTAGGTGATTTCTATTCTTAAAAAAGGATTGATGAAAGGGCACAATTGTTTAGAAACTGCAGGAATTGATGTCAATGTAGAAAAGATCCAACTGCTGACCCCAATCTTGGGCAAGGTCAAATGAAACGAGGCGGCATCAAATATTCAAATGTGTCTCCCAATTCATTCACAAAGTTGGTGTGAAGCTTGGTGGGTGATTGGGAATTCTAATACAATGTTGGGTGTGGATTCATGGTTTCCCATTTGTTGCGAAGTGAAAGAGTAAACCTGAAAATAGATACACATGGACTACTATCATTCTATGTAGAATCACAAAAATTAATGTTAAATATTTTTTTAAAATAATTAATAAAAAACCTTTTTAATTAAATAAAATAACATATCTATTACTCCCTCTGTCCCCTTAAGATGTTCTCATTTTGACTTTTGGTTATTTTTAAGGAGAGTTGAAAAAAGGTGAAAGTTTACCATAATACCTTTAATGAAAAATGGGTGGAGTGTATTAAATGAGGTGGGTGAGGTTTAATAAATAAAGTAAGAGGGGTAGATGTGGTATTTTAATTGTTAAAAAATGAAATGAGAAGATCGATTGTGGACAAAGAGAAATGGCTATTGAGAAGATCTGTGAGGGACGGAGAGAGTACTTAGTAAAATTGAGTATCAATGAGTAATCTGAACTTATAAAGTATTTAGGTCTTAGGTTTAATAAGATTTTTAGGTCCATTTGAACCAGGCTGTATAGCCCTAAATTATTTCGGATTTAGATCGAACTTGAGCAAAATTTGAATGCCTGATCTTTTTGGATCAAAGACTACTTGAAATCTATTTGGTCTGGACTTTACAGTCCAGTTTGGCTGGTTTTTTAGGTCGAACTTACACTTGAACAAACCCTATTTATTAAAAATGTCTTATACGGAATACAATTTTAAGCAACTTATAAATAGGGTTTGTTCAAGTTTAGGTTTGATAAAAGAAATTCATTCGTGGTTTTTCAGTTTTAGGTACGATAAATAGGGTTTTTCAGTTTCAATTTTATAAAATAAATAATCATTCGTGGAAGTAAGATAAAAGAAATTATTGTCAAACACTCATAATAAATTTATTTTGACTTACTCCCACAAATTATTATTTATTTTATAAGTAGTTTGACAATTTCTTTTATCTTACTTCCACGAATGATTATTTATTTTATAAGTAGTTTATAAGTTAAAAAATGTTTTTATCAACAAAAAGTAACGAGCACCACAAAAATAGCTCATAGTACTTCTATATTTTTGAGTTTGATGATATTTATGAGGGATAAATTTTACGTATGATACCTGAACTTTTAGTTATTTTTCGTTTTGGTACCTAAATTTGACTTCATTTCTTTTTTTTCTTCTTCCCCCTTCCACTCCCTCCTCTTTCTTCTTCTTTCACCCTCTTTTTTGTTCTTTCACCTCCTTTTTTTTCTTCTTCAAAGCCGCCCTCACCTCACCCCACCGCCACCCTCTCCCTTCCTCTATTTTTCTCAGTCCAACTTTTCTTACAATCAATAAAATAAAAAATAAGTAATTTTTTATTTCTTTTGTTAAGAAACATCTTATATTTTTTTATTGCTATTTTAATGTATTTTTTTTGATAAAAATAATGTAAAATTACTCCCCCATCCCAAATTGAATTACAATTTCTCATTTATGAGGCAATCCCCTACAGTTTTTGGAATGAATTTATTCACAAATTGTTATATGAATGGTTAATAACATATACAAACAAACAAAAGTTATCGAGGGGTAGGTTACAAAAACATTATAATTCATTTCGGAATTGATGGAGTAATTGAAATTTGGATTCCTTTTTTTGCTTATAGTTCTCTTTTTATGTTTCAATTATTCTTCGTTTGGCTTATTTTATTTTATTAATTAATTAGCTTTATTTTATTGATCATTTTAATTAAATAGAAAAATCGTACCATACATTCAAATTTTTTTGGTTTTATTCGATATTCTTTGTTTGTAATTTTTAAAATCTTTATGGTAAACAATTAAACAAAAGAAGTGAATAAAATAAGCCCAAACTAAACAAAAAAAGAATGAAAAAACAAACAAAAATGTTAATAAACAAAAATATATCATAAACAAACAAATAAATAATATTAAAATATTTAGAAAAAAGATAAAAAAGCAAATAAAGACATTAACACACAAAAGCATCGAAAACAAAAAATACTACTACGTATTTTTGTTATTCTTTGTCTTTTTTTGTGGTTTTCATCTTTTTATTTAATTTGGCTTTATTTTATTTTATTTTTTGTTTAATTGCTTACAATAAAGATTGAAAAAAATGAAATAAAATGACGACAAAAAATATCGAATAAAAGAAACAAAAAAATTTAATTCAAATTACTTTTTTTCTTTTGTTTTATGAAAAAAATAAATATATAAAAATACAAAACAAAAAATATAAGACGTTTGTTAACACAAAAGATATAAAACAAAAACAAAAGATTAATTAGTAATTTTTTTGCCATTACGGTTATTTTTTCTAGTTCTTTTTTATTTGTTTTGGACTGATTTTATTTAATTTTTATTTAATTGTTTACAACAAAGATCGAAAATAAAAAAAGTCAAACAAAAAAATGAAAAAAAGACTAGACATTTGTTAACAAAAAGATAGAAAAACTAACAAAAAGGTTAGTAAAAAAAATCGTAAACAAACAAACAAATAATATGAAAACATTGAGAAAAAACAAACAAATTTACAAATAAAAAAGACCGAAAAAAAACTAAAAAGACATATCAGAAAAAAATTGAAAAAAAATTAAAAAAAAAGTTATTCAACAAAAAATTTGAAAACAAAAAAACACTTAAAAAGGAAGTTAAAATTAAACAAAAAAAAAAGAGAGGCTCAAGAAGGGGGGTGGGGTTAAACAAGAAGGGATGGGTGAGTTGTGAGTGGAGGGTTTAATGAAGAAGAAAAAAATGGGTGAAAGAAGGTAGAAGAAGAAGAAAGGGGTGAAAGAAGGAAAAAAATGGAGTGGGAGGGGGACAATTGAGAAAAAAGAAATGAGGTCAAATTGAAGATTTTAAAAAATATAAAATTATAATTTGGCCTAAATGACTTGATTATTACCTGAAAGCCGGCTTCAGGTATCATTTGTGAAAGATTTTTAAAGTTCAAGTATTTTTGTGAAAGAAAATGAAATCTAGGTACAAAACAAAAAATAGCTGAAAGTTCATGTACCATACCTAAAATTTACCCTATTTATGGGTTGTCATTTGTCAAACGTGATGTCATGCTGGTTTCAATCTAATATATACTCCCTCGAGTCTAAAAAAAGAGTTCTAATTTTGACCTAGTATAAAAATAAGGAAGTGTTAAATTATGGTCGACTTCCAATTTTTCCTTTGATGTGATGGTTAAAAGTAAGATGTGATGGATAAATTATTAGAGAAAAAACTTGATATGATAGGTGGAGTATAAAAAAGTAAGGATAAAAGTGATCTTTTAATAGAATATGAAAATATTTTGTTAGAAGTAGAAAAAATGAAAGATAAAGAGTTTTTGAAAACGGAAGGAGTGCCTCATTTGTTGCATACTTTTTTTATTTTTCCAAAAATATTCTTTTTTTTCCTTTTGAATAAGGAATTGGGTGGCTAACATGAATTTTCAGGATGAAGAGTGGTAAATAGAGGTTAACGGGAGTCAAGCATAGATGAGTTCACACCGAACTTTACACCTAGGCAATGTGTTATGGGGTGTGAGGAGGGGGCTTGACCACTCTCCAACACGCCCCTCTTCAATAACATAGAATGCGAGAGTGGGGGTTGTCCCCCAAGGAAAATGCTAGGGTGCCATCACATGGATGCACCTATGCTTCGCACAGACAAACACAGACGATAATTGTCTGTGTTGCACAGACAATTATCGTCTGTGTTTGTCTGTGCGAAGCATGGGTGCACCCATGGTAGCACCCATGTGGTGGCACCCTAGCATGATCCTTGTCCCAAATGGCTTGCTATGTGGGGCTTCTCCATCCCTCAAATGTTTTTTTTTCTTTTTTTAAAAAATATCAATCAATCAAAATGTAATACATATTCATGCCTCATCACTTTCTTCACACTCACCATTATATATTTTTTTGTAATTTTACAATTATGGACAAAAACTTATAAAAATAATAGAAATCATCCTAAATAGGATTAAAACATAGAGAAAAGTACCAAAATAGGACTTTCATGTTTTTTTTCCCGAAATAAGACTTTGCACTGTGGTAATGTAACTTTGCATTGTGGTAATGTGGCAGTGTACATGTGCAGATTACTATACTTTTTTGGTAATGTATATGACCATGTTTGGTAATTTAAGTCCTATTTCGGGAATAAAAACATGAAAATCCTATTTTGGTATATCTTCAATGTTTTAGTCCTACTTTGACCTTTCTTCCTAAAAATAAATGAGAATATGTCATTGTTGAACTTGTTTTTTTGGGTAATAATAGACGAAACTTTGATTCGTGGTAAATTTGGAGTCTCTCACAAACCACAATCGTAGTTGCCTTGTCTCTCCTGACCAAAAATGGCGATTTCAGCAAAGGCAGCATTTCTTTGTTCCTTCAATAACACCAGAGATCTTTCAGTCGCTACGCCGTTAACTTCTACCTCCCCGTCGTCCTTCCAACTCCTCAAAGCACTTCGCTCTGTGCGGATTGGATTTCACCCTTTCGATTCTAAGTCACGACGGCGTCGACCACTTGCTCCGGTGAATTGCTCAACTTTTTCTTGTGAAATTCATCGGAACTTATTTCATTTTTTGGCTCGATAGTCTCAGATTCGGTGTATCTGAACGCCTAGGATTGCCAAATTATCCATGATTCCTGAGATAATTGAGTTTTTTTTTTAATTTGAGATAATTGAGTTATTACAGCTGGAAGCTGAATTCATTGTGTGCATTTGATGGGATTTTTTAATGAAATTAACCTAATGTGGTTTACATTGAAGGTTGAGGCAAAGAAGCAGACCTTCTCTTCCCTTGATGATCTACTGGAAGACAGTGACAAAGCTGTTTTGGTCGACTTTTACGCGACTTGGTAAGTTATGTTGTGTTTCTTCTCCTTCACTTTCTTCTACGATCTGCTTCGTGTTCTTACTTATAACTTCTGAAAGGAACTTGTTTTCTAGTCCATGTTCCTTTCATCATTCTGCATATGTTTTAGACAATGCCTAGTAATGACCTTTGAAATGCGAACCTGCATCTATTAGGCCTGCAAATGGTCAATGTTCTAAGCAGGATCTCTTATAGAAGGAGTAGCCCAAGGTCATATATGCGAATTTTTAGTTTTATACGGAGTATTTGGTTTAGGTATGATGACTTAACAAATCCATTATCTCTGATGGGGCCAAAGATTCTCTATTTTTGGCTTTGGGGTATGATGGAATAAAGCAAAATAACTCCTAAAATTGGATGTGCTTCTTTTAATATTGAAGTAGCAATTAATCAATGTAACTTTCGACGCTCATCATGAGTCGTTCGAAAAAATCTGCTCTATGTTTTAAACATAGTGGTCAGGTTGTGTACATCCGACTCTCCCTTAACCCGCAATGGGCAGGAGCCTTTTAGGTACTAGGGTAATGTTGTTGTTGTATCACTTGTATGATGACTTAAAATGTTTTAAGATGATGGCTTTTTGTAACAAACCACTCTTGTTGTTTTTAAGACTTGGATTGTGGTTCTATACGGTCAACATACTAGGTGGAGTGACAATGGACATTATATATGGGTTTGTATTTTTTTTATTTGGTCAGCATGGTATGATTTGACATAGCGTTTAGTGTTGCAAGCTCATCTTATCGCGGACTATAGTTTTCTTGAGGGCTCATATTCCTATATTTCTTTTCAAGAGGTCCTTAGCGAACTACTTGATGAATTAGCATTTTCTTTCCAAGGCAGCGTGGCACGGCTAGAGGTGGATTTATAAAGCATTAATCCCTCGTGCACTGCAGGTGTGGTCCTTGCCAGTTCATGGTTCCTATCCTCGACGAAGTAGGTAATGCAATGAAGGATAAAATTCGCGTGGTGAAAATTGACACTGAAAAGTATCCTAGCATTGCAGACAAGTACAGAATCCAGGCACTCCCAACATTCATTCTTTTCAAGGATCGGAAACCCTGTCATCGATTTGTAAGTAACCAGATATATCACAAGTCACTTGCATATTTGTTTCCTATTATTAAACCACACATTGTTCTCTACCTAACAAAAGCAAGCTAGTCTGCAGCAGAACTTACAAAATTGCATAGCTTTCTACCAACCAAACCAAACAAGCCCAGTTTGTCCAAGTGGCTGGTTTTGAGAGGGCCCACCGCCCATGACACGATTGTTTTGATGCCCATACTTAATGGGATTGGAGTGCAATTGTCTTACACTCGCCTTGAACTTGAAGTCTTTCTTTACTTTGTACATCATTGTCGATTTAGTATGTTTTCTTTTACAGGAGGGTGCACTATCAGTTGAGAATTTAATCAAGCTTATTGAGGGCGCGCTCAAGGATGCATAGTAGTTTCACTCCGTATCTCTTGTGTCCCCTGTGCAAAAGGTTTAGTTTCCTTCCCGAGTCTGAGCATACATTTATAAAACCACGGGGTTGGAAAAGATATAAGTATATTTGTTGTATGGAGAAAAGCCTTCTCCATGCTTGTATTTTTTGACATGATATTCATTTGTCCAAGCTAATCGCATTGTTTTGGACCGTTGGTGCTGAATCCTTTGTTATATTAGGCTCTCATCTTATGTGTTTAAACTTCAACTTTCTGTGGGATATTGAGGTGTCCTTAGATTAGTAACCTGGCCTGGCCTATTCAAGATTTCATTAAAAGTTTTGCACCCAAAACATGAGGGCACCAATCTGTGCACGCCCTTTGGTTTTGGGTAATAGTTAATACCAATGGACTCTACACTGGATTTATGTAAGTCTTATGTAGGGTATCATCAGATGCTGCTTGACAACAATTTCTGTTTTTGAATCACATTGTTCTATTATATTATTGCCTCAGAGCACCCAAAAAAACACTAGAAGAGCTTTTCCTCAGACCACAAGTAGTTATTACAGTATTTAATAGCTCCAAGTTTTAATAAATTTATTAAAACCCTGGTGGGTTTATTGAGATCAAACTATGTACTCCGTATAAGTATGTAGATTAGCCTGATTAGATATACCAGCCCATCTGTTGAAACGGGTCGGGTTAAACCCAATTGCTTGACTTCCTTCGGTACATAGTTGGACTAAGGGTGAAGTTCATGTGAAACGGGTTGGGTTAAATGCCTTTGATGAAGGTGACACTAGGATTAGGAGACATGAGGTATACGATAAGGGAGATTGACCCAACTATAAATATAGTCATGTTAGAGACAAAGCACATATGATAACTTTTGACATAATTGTACTTCGTATTTGTATGTGTTTGTCTTTGATGTACAAATGATGTACATTTCTTGGGGTACTCTTAGGGTCCGTTTGGTACAGGGAATTAGCTAAATTAGTATTGAATTGAACACTAGCAATTCCAAATCCACACATTTTTTGTGATACCAAGCAACAGAATCAGAATTGAAGTCCCCAATTCTAATGTCATGGTTTGAATTCCGTATACCAAATGGAGCCTTAGCGTATTCCCCAATCGTCAATACTACTCTGTAATATTGTATTCTTAAGAACAAAGCTACCTCTACACCTTTTTCATTTTTTATTACTCTTTTGGATTTTTCATTAATCATAATTAAATATAAAAATCTAATTAAAACTTTAGTAAAAGTTAGATACCAGACTGAGTTAACTTGAACAAAAAACAAGTCAAAACTCACAGACTCAGGGTTACACTAGCAGTGTCTAGCTCACGTCTTCATTTTCACCTGTAAAAAAAATTTCTCACATAAAATTGGTCGACGAAGAATTTTCACATACATGGCATTGATAAATTTTGTCGGTTTGAATAAAAAATATGTAAGCAAAAAATTGTGGTTCGTAAAAAAAATTAATCTTTAAAGATCGTTCCCACATATGCAAATTAATAAAAAAACTGTTATTATGAAATAGATTTAGCCCAAATAAGAGTGAATACAACACCCTAATATTAAATACTCCCTCCGCCCAAAAAATTATTTTCTCGTTGCGCGTTACAATGTTTGACTGAAGTTATTTTCAAAAGATTTTATATGAAAAATGGTGTGAAATTAAAAAATAAAAATTGCATATTAAAAAACTACATCAAAAGATCTAAAAAAACTAAAGGTAACATGACTATATTAATTTATCAAATGGGTAACGGAAATAAGCCGACAAAGTGAATAAAGTTTGACTTTGTAAATAGTGAACGAGAAGATAATTTTTGAACGGATGGAGTATAATTTTTATTTACTTGATGATCAAAGTTAACACGATTCTATATATAAAAAATTAAATTGAATGAATACTTCATGGAATAATAATTACCAAAATCTGAGGGGCTTTTATGATAAATATTTCCACAAGTTAGTATGCAACTCTTACCGGTCAAGAACTTTGATGCTTTTTTTCCTAAAGTTAGTATGCAACTCTTTCGGTTCCATTTGTGCAAACTGATCTTATTTTTCCAAAAAAATTATTTCATCCGTCCCATTTTATAACGCCTGTTTCGATTTACGATAATTGACTGAAATTATTTTCAAATCATTTTATATGACAAATGGTACTACCTCCGTCCCAATTTATAACGCCTGTTTCGGTTTACGATGTTTGACTGAAATTATTTTCAAATCATTTTATATGACAAATGGTATAGAATTAAAAAATAAAAATTACATATTAAAAAACTACATCAAAAGATCTACAAAACTAGTAGTGACAATAATATTTTATTTTATCAAATTGCTAACAAAAATAGAGAAAGAAAGTGAATAAAGTTTGACCCTGTGAATAGTAAACAGGCATTATAATTTGGGACGGAGGGAGTACAAAATTAAAAAATAAAAATTACATATTAAAATACTACACCAAAAGATCTACAAAACTTATAGTGATAATAATATTTTATTTTATCAAATTGTTAACAAAAATAGATAAAGAAAGTGAATGAAGTTTGACCCTGTGAATAATAAACAGACATTATAATTTGGGACAGAGGGAGTACTACACTGCGTATATGCACGCATGCACATATTAGAGTTCTTACAAAAATTTAAATTGCAAATATTACAAAAAATATATATAAATAGTTTATATATAAAACAAGCTGAAGTTTCACTCCTATAAATGAAGTTTGAACATAGAATATTGAATTCTTGAAATTGTTGAATATACACTTCCCATCTTAATATCTTATCATGGATTTCTTCTTATCCGATTAGCTCTCTTTACCCAACAAAATCATGAAGTTAAAATCATTCATTCACATAAACATTATAAAATAAATGTAAATTCACAACAAATGTTGGCTGAAGGCCCAAAGTGACACCAATAAAGAAATTTAGAAAGTCTAAAGTTACACCATAGGTAATGATGGTTCCTATCTCTTAGCCAACTAATCTAAATGGTTCTGATCTAGTATGATCTGATCTTAATATAATTATATTTAAAACTAATTTTGATCTGGCTAATCAAAATTGATTCAATACGGAAAAGTAACAAATAATAAAAATAAGTTGAAGTAAACATGACTTTATTCTAATTACTTATTCTTATTATCAGAACAAATCTAATAAAAAACATTTTTCAATACAACTACAATCAGATCAAATTTTATTCCAACCAAATCAGAACTAATCAGATCATGTGAAAATAACAAGCCTCAAGTCTTAGGAAGTGTGTTCAACTCTATATAGATGAAGAAGACAAATAGTTATATAGATAAGGAATATATTCCTTTTTGTACACATACTCGGTACAATTTTTTTTATTCCCACGGACAAAAAAAATCTGTACTCAATGTGTATGGTGTAAAAGTTGGTGTATACAAGGATTTACCAAGGCCCATCCAATAAATAATACGGAGTACTACAACAACAATACAACATAGGCTTCGTTTGGGAACAACTTTTTCAATCAGCATTTCGGATTATCAAAATGTTAGCGTCTCAATTAGCATTAGCGATTTGAAAACGTTGTCGTTACATAACCTTTTTTAAAACGCTAAAGCTAAAAGATGAGGCTGTTTCCAAACGGGCACATAATAAAATAAATAGAGCTCACCATCATTGCATTATATTTATGCAGCCATGAGATTCAACAAAATCAATCTGGTTGGGAGACTGACCCATTAAACAATCTTGGGAATCATAAGGTTTGATCTGCAGGAAATGCCATCCATGGCATCCTTTTGCCTGTTACAACTGCATTGAGCTAACTCTCCGCAGAACACGAGCCGGTCTTCGCCTCTCCGTAACTGGAACTATATTTTCCATTAACTGTGGGAATGATCAAACAATTACAAGCTAACAAACGGATCCTAAAATTTATCGATCCCTTGAAATTCTTTGCAACTTTGATTTCACACAATATCTGTCTATTGAACAATGGAGAAGGAAAGAATCTAAGGTGTTCTATTATTCCTCCACTGGGGTACCCAGAATAGGTGAATTATACAAAAACATTCTTAATACATTGAAGCATTACAAATTATAACAGTGAACTACAGACTCATCTACACACCCACGAGATTTGAAGCATTTGTAGAGCACTTTCATTCAGCATATCATCGCCCAAAGAGTTTCAAAGTGAAGTCTTAATGCGTATCAATAAATTGTCAATTCTACATTGCTCTAACAGAAATTGCCACAGGCAAAATTAATGTTAACTTCACAGACAATTTACACTACCTGGTATATATTGCATCTTTTTGTTTTTAACTCTACTAACTTGCAACCTAACTCGTATTTTTGGATAGTCGGAAAAATATTTCTTAGATTACGCATCAAGAGTATACAATTACACTTGGTTGCATTGCCTCCTCCTCCTAGTCCCCAAGTATTTTTTTTAATAGATTTGTAGATTGGGTGTTGGTCAAAGTTTTTTTTTAAAAAAACCAGTAGTAACATTCCTAGGCTCACCCATTGTGCATATGAAAAACCCAAGAAATTGAAGGAATAGCTAAGGGTAGATGGTCTGATAAAAATAAGCCTGACATGCATTAATGATATGTTCTCATTGTTCTGTACTCTGCAGTAAGACTTATAGAAGGAGAGTAGGAAAGTGATCCAACTGATGAAGCTGGAATCAGATAACTCGCTCAAAAGGAACCATGGGGCTGCTTTTAAGGATACAGATGTGGTATTTCTTCAAGAATAAATTAGACATTGGAGATTTGTCAAGTTGTAAGTTGTAACTATGCTCTCATATTTGTCCTGTTGTTTCCTATAAAAGGAGGCAATGGTGTGTAGTTTTAATAATCGAAGAGAATTTGTTTCAAGTTTCAAAAGTGTTGTTAAGGGCATGGTTTTCAATGGCTTTCGAGGTGGTCCGCCTTGAGGCAGTGAGGCTAAAAGATGGTGGGTCTAAGCCTCATGAGATTTCGAGTAAGATTGTAAATGAAGGGAATAATGTTGATTTGATTGGTGATTTGTATTCGAAAAAATTGAATCCGAATATTATTTGCAGCTCTCTCTGTACCTGTTGGTTCTTCCCGTTTTGACTTGGCACAATTTTAATGTAAGATAAAAAATGCTTTGACTTTCCCAAATGTTCCTTTCAATTTTTTGCATGTCCTCTTCGTCTCCAGTATAAACCCTCCAATCTCCCCTGGGTTTTTCTTCATCTAAAACCAGCCTCCTCCCCTGCCCCTCTTCTGTTTCAACCCTCTCCAGCAACTCAGAAATGTCTCACAAATGAAACCAAAATCAAATGGAGAAAGAAGAGATGAAATTTAAAAAGAAGGCGATGAAGGAAGCTTGGTTTTTAATTTAAGATCTAAAAGCTTTATTGTCAGCTTGAATTCCCCAGCAATGAAGCTTGCATTTTAATTTAAAATCCCAATCGCATGAAACTCAAAAAAAATATCATGCAAACAGCAACGAAGAATTTAGATCTAGAGATGAAGCTAGCTTCGTTTTCAATTTTGAAAAACGAGAACAACCAATTTGGTTTTTATTTTAGAAATAAGATCTGAAACCAGATCTGAAAACGAGAAGAATTACTATCTGAAACAGATATGAAGCCCTTTGCTGCTCCCATTCGCCGCCGTCCTTTGCTGCTGCCAGTCGCCGATGCAATTTACTTCCGCCCTCCGTCCAAAGGAAGATGAAAAAAAGGAAGGATGAAGAAACGGCAAAAAAAAGGACCTAAGATGGAGATGATTGAAGATGCAAGGAAAATTAAAAATATAAGGTGAATTAGATGGGGCGGCTAACACGAAGAAGAAAAGGAGGAAGGGTAAATTTGTATGTTTGATAAATTTATTTAATAAATAAGGAAAGGGGAAGAAAAATATGGGACAACTTAAAAAGGAAAGTGAGAAGAAAGATATGGGACGGAGGGAGTATTTGTTACTTTAATGAATACAGATACATAACTATACAATTCGGTAAATATTCAAATACTTTTGTGTGTGTGCGCGCGCGTGTGCGTGTATAATTACAATATCCATTCTATGGCTGGTGTCTTGGATACATCTCAATGGAACCGGTATGAGTTCTTAACAAAGTTCATGAACGTTTGTGTAAGCCCAAGAAGTACAAGTGTACAGCACTGCAACTTACAACAACCATAACTTGTGTTTCGGGGAAGACGGGTTTGGCTATGCACCGAACCCAATTTCAATTATGCACAGACATGTGTTTCATAAATTGACCGGGAAATTATTGGTCTCTTTTGTATCCTACAGAGTGTTGGGATTGAGAGAAGTTTCTTAACTTATTGAATCATTGCATTATAGTTCTATCCATGATGTGCTCTGTGTGCCCTAGCTAAAATCCTTTCATGAATCTCATCCAATCCAAATGCCAATGTCACCCGCCTTAAAAATCATGAGGTGCTGAACTGCTGATAAATGATAATATTGGTCAACTGTTATAGGGATCCTGTTGAGGATGCTACATGGGACTAGATTGATGCCTTCTTATAATTGCTTTTGGATTTTAAGCATGAGGCCAAAAATATTTTGTAGAAAGATGCAGTGATGCATTCTGAAGGAAAAGGGACAAGGTTGACGAAGCTAGAATTTTATTAATAGCTCAATACGACGAAAAACATTAAGTGGCATTCTTGGATTAAATGGGGTTTGGCTCTATAGTTTTTAACACATTCACAAAATCTAGCGAATTTAAAGGACTGATGCACTACCCTCACCAGATCATCCGCAACTTCCATCACCCATTTACCAATGTGATTATACTAATCTGTTAGAACGTGTTAGAATATAAATAACTCTTCCTGGGCCACGACCACAAGCTTGAGCTTTTGGTTGAGTTGGTACTTGACATGGTATCAGAGCATTGTTGACTAAAAGGTCACGGGTTCGAAACTCAGCGCCACCCAGTTTTAAGAAAATTAAAGTATCACGTGCAAGGCTCGAAAAAGACTACGCCTGCACGTGAGGGGGCGTATTAGAATATAAATAACTATTCCTGGGCCACAACCACAAGCTTGAGCTTTTGGTTGAGTTGGGTCTTGACAGAACGAGTTCTTTTTGTTTCAAAAAACAATTTAGTACTGCACGAGTCTTAGGAATTCAATGGAAAACTTGGTAATCGCAATAACTATTAACAACTAAGCGTGTGTTTGGCAAAAGGCGCAAAGGAGATATTTGTTGGTAAAAAAATGTTTGGTAACTTAGGAGTATGGTAAAAGATAAAACTAACATGCTAATACAAAAACGTTGTTTTCAAAAAGCTGAATTGTCAGCATTTTGCTAGACATAATAAGTTAGCACACTGCTAAGTTACCAATCCTTTAGTCGCTTCTCGGCTCTCGCCTTGTTTGCCTTTCATCTTGCTATGGAAAACAACCTCCCACTCCCCCTCCACCGCACACTGCTAAGTTACCAATCCTTCAGTCGCTTCTCGGCTCTCGCCTCGTTTTCCTTTCGTCTTGCTATGGAAAACAACCTCCCACTCCCCCCCCCCCCCNTGCCTTTTGTAAATATGGCTAACTCACCAAACACCTCAAATAGCATTTTGACTAGTCAAACATCTTTTTTTTAAGTCAAAATGTTGAAAACAGCATAATGCTAAAGTTGTTTACCAAAATAGCCTAAGGCAGTTATTCCATCACACTAGGCTCAAAGGGAACCTACTAACCAAGGTAGATGGCAAAGCACAGATGAGATTGATCTCATAATCAAAGTCAAAAGTGTATGACAATATGTTGATAGCTATAAGTTGATCATGTTGCCTGTTAGATGCAACTATGTTGGTACTAAAGACTGTTTTTACTCGACTTCATTCTCACGAAATGAAAATCGATACTTGGCAAATATATGTATGGTGCATAATTGATAGGAAATCAAGTTCACGCATTCAACATAAATAAGGTCAACTAAACATCAAAGAAAGAGACTTCTAGAATTTACTTTTGATTTTTGGCTTATATCGAATCAATAGTACTATGCAACATACTATACTAATATGCATGAGTAGCATACTATATAACTCGCTAAAAAAACATAACTCAATATTTGCATAGAGAAACCTTAAGATAAGCTAACAATGAAAATAATTCGATGTGAATATCAAATCCAGAGAACAAGATTGTTGAAGCAATACCTGCTTAAACCGTTCTTTTTTCCTTTCAGCCTGAGATTTGACACCATAAAAAGGCAAATACTATTTCAGAATTGGTATGGTCAGTTTGAAGACAAACTCATAAATGGACATATATTTCTCTTAAAACAAGGTGTGTGTGAGAAATCACACCACAACCTGGCGTATCAATCAAAGGAAGAATACAATAGAGTTCTATTTAACAACTTAAATCATCTAAATTAGAGTAAACATTGACATGCAGAATGACAGCGCACACATTTTCACCCTACTTGATGCAGGAAATTAGAGATGTACAAAAAAATCAAAATTTCAGAGATGTATGAAGGAAGAATACAATAGAGTTCAACTTAACAACTCGAACCATCTAAATTAGAGTAAACTTTGACATGCAGAATGACTGCAGGAAAACTTTTTGCCCCACTTAAAGTAGGAAACTAGAGATGTACCAAAAAAAATAAAAAAATTCAGAGATGTTAATCTAGGTTTGAACAAATAATTATGGGGACCCTCAAGTTTTGAAACTAGCACAAAGGACCTTACCTTTTTGTGATTCATTTGTGAGGACCATGCATTGCTCCGAGCTGTGTAATGACAAAGATGCCATTCAAATGTTGCCCTTTTGTATAAATGAAGGGAGAGTTTCGTTCTGACCTAGTAGGAAAGTCAATACAACATTTTGACACCAAACACCCTACTTTTCTATAGCATCCCTAAGATATAAAACAATAAAGTGATGTATGGACTTTCTTACTAGCGTAAGAATGAAACTCTCCCCTTCATTAGTGCAAAACAACAACATTTCTAAGGGTAAATTCACCCTTTCAAAACTATGATCAAGCTCTGGTGGGCATAGGGTCCTCAAAACTGAATCACTTAGTAGGTGAGATTCTATGCTAGTTTCCAAAGTTGAGGGTTTCCAATATTGTTTTTATGTACCCTTGTGTAATGTTTTTACCAAAATAGGGAACTAGATCAAAACTCCCTAGTCCCTCCAACCTAAAAACAAGTCGTGCTTAGTAAGACACAACTCCTTTTTTTGTTAACATCATCAAGGTACAAGCTTTTATACGTATACAATTAAACCCCTACTGCAACTTGTTGCAAAGATTTTTTTGAGTAATGGACTATAATTGTTTGCTGCGCTTTACAGAAATTTAATCTAAAATGAAAGTTAACTTTCAAATTCATAACTTTTAAGGCAAAAAAAGTTTTCAAAACGGGAGAGGGAGTACTGGTTGTGAAAAAAGAGATGTCTTAAATAGGGAAATGACGCTTGTATAAAAAGCTTGAGTGCTTGACAATGCTAATGATGATGAACATTTTTAACAGGATAACTCTCTTCAGACCTGATGTAGGTTTTACAACAATATCAGAACACCAATTAATGCATGCCTCTCTCGAGAGACAAATTAGGAGAACATTCATGTGAGAACTGCATTTGCATACTAGTACATTTGATGAACTAGTTTAAGCCACTCAACCTTAACACCATAGCTAAGATACCAAAATCTCAATTTTCTAAACCTGAAAATGGGATGACTTGATATAGATTTGAACTTCCCACACTCTATTGAGGGAATCACTTGATAAAATCATTTAAATAGGACTATTCCCTAGGTTCATATATGGTACACAACCAAAAGTTGTAGCAAATACATCTGAAAATTGAAAATGCTCGACAAAAATCATGTGTTTATATGCTTCAATTCTGAGAATATACGGAGTATTATTTTTATGTTGCTTATGAGCAAACCATTGAAGCAACAAAATCTAATATCAATGCAAACATCAGAGTAATAATGAAATGTCACTTTCAATAAAAGATAATGTTGAAAATCTCAAAAAGAAATACTAGTACCTGCTCTCTCAATAACTGCTCATTCTCCTCCTCCAGTCTTGTTGCCAAAGACTCTAGCTCGTCTTGATAGGCCTGCAAGCACCATATAACTAAATAAATGAAAATTGAAGCAAAAGGTCCAAAAGCGGATAAGAAGACAACAGAGGAAGTGCAGAAGGAAATGCCATTATGCAAAGGATGAATCACTTGCCTGTTTCCGCTCCCTTGATCTCGCTGCAGACTCTCTATTCTTGATCATCCTACGTTGCCTTTGCAAGGCAGCTTTATCCAGCGGTTCCAAAACAACTCTCCTCTTCCCTATCCCAACTCCATTCGCCTCCGTAACATTCCCAAATCCTGCAACTTTCTCCATGCTGGGTTGCTGAGTGAGGATCGAACTCTCGTATTTGAAACTTCCTCCACTAAACCTCTCGCAGAAAGGCTCAATCTTCACCTCCGCGTGCACAGGCTCAAGTTCACATTCATCAACAGCCCCGGCCCTCAAGAGAAAATCCTCAAGGGTCATCATCTCATCCATGGCCTCTTCCTTACACTCCACGGCCGACGACTCCCTCAGCCCCATCTTCTCCCCGTCCATAATCTCTCTGAAAACATCATCCACCGTTTTCCGCTCCACAGGCCCAGTAACAACTGGATCTGTCCCCAAGGCATCCGCATTCAACAGAGCACTCCCCGCCGCAGCTTGACGATCCCCATACACATCCTCCAAGAATCTGTCAAGGGTCATCAAATTCGAATCCGGATCTCTTCTATCTCCCCCTTGATACTCAGCTGTACAATTCTGAGTGTGAAAAAAGGTCGGTAAATTTGTAGAAGAAGAAGATGGCGAGGCTGCGGAGGAGGTATTGCGTCGGACATCCGAAGTCTGGGAGGTTGTTGAAGAAGAAGAAGCCATAAACTTAGACGTCGCCATCTCTGTGTGGGATCCGTATGGATTTGGATGTAAGCGGTGCTTGACTTTGTTTCCTGAGAGCAACAATGGAGGAGATAGGGCTTGGACTAAAAAGAGCCTGTTTGTCACCCCATTGGTCTCTCAAAACGAGTATAGGTTCATTTGTTTTTGACTTTTTGAAGGAGTGTTTAGTTTCATCGGTACACCCGAGGCTCCCCACCCCTTGCCCGACAGGAATGGTGGAGGATGTAAATCATGGTGACTCAGCCGGCCAAGAACACTAGACCCGTGCCCACCGCGCACAAGGAGCCTCCTCACCGTTTATGGGATTTTTGGATAGCTCTCACACTGCCGCTTGCGGGATTCGATCTCAGGTCATCGGTCAAGAAGTGTTTAGTTTCATGATTTAAAGTTTGTTTTACTTCATTCTTGTAATTTATTACTCCCTCCATTCCTATTTAATTATCTCTTTAGCTTTGCGGCTCAAATATTTGATTAACTATATATAAAAATATGTACTTCTTTTGTCTAAAAATGTTCTTCTCATTTAACTTTTTTAGTCAAAGTTTATAAATTTTGACTTCGATAGGTAAAAAAAATATATTGTATTATGATAAGCAAAAAATTGTATCAAATTTTTGGTATCGAAAAATACTTTAAATCAATACTTAATTTTATTAGAATCAAATTAGATCGTTTCAGAATTTATTTCTTTCAGATCAGGTGAAAGAAAAAACGAACTCTTTGAACATCTTCTTTTAGATTAAAAAAATAGTTTGATGTTAAAAGAAATTAAAAGAAACTAAAAAAAGTTTAAAAAAAAAATTGGAAGAAAGAATTATAAGAAACTTGAAGATGTTGAAAAAAACTATGAGTTGAAAATATTTAAAAAAAAGATTAGCATTTTTACCATTAACATGCACCGGTGAAACGAAATTATATGCGGTTCTACAATGTAAAATAATAAAATGACTTGACTTTTTTATGGAGCGTATCATTTAAACATCAAATATAAATGACCGATTTATTAAATTTTTATGAACATGCCAAAAACCTTGTAGTTTTGGAGCATTCTTTGGATCTTTTCAATGAGAGATTACAAGTTTAAACTCACGAAGGCAATAACTCTTTGTTGTTACATAAGTAAGTTGAGAACTTATATTTGCTCAAAAATACCGGTGTGGGTCTTCGAGTGCCACCATGGGCCGAAATAAGGATTTTTTTTCTATGTATGATTTTAGGTCAATAGAATCAAAAATCAACTTCTTTATCTTAAATGTATCCTAGGAACATATGAAATTTATTTAGAGAGAAAGACATGTTATTTTTTATTTGAATTTTTGTTATAAATAAAGAGAAAAGAAATAAAGAATTAGTATACAATACTTTATACAACAAAAATCTCTTTTACATAATTAAATTTACTTATCGACTTCACACCAGCAATTAATTTCTTATTTTCTATGTCATAAATTTTTTGGCATGTTAGGTGTTAAAAAACGATGCATGATAGCTTCCTAGAGGTTAGAGTCTGATTCTTTTATATAATAAATGAAATGATTTATTTGGATAAAGTATTTGATCATTTTTAAAAAAAGTTCAATTATCTCTTCTTTTATTCAATCTTAATGTAAAACTTAAAATACGGAGTATAATTTTTATGTTAGATTAATATTTAAATAGATAGAATAAAAACTGACTTAATTTAGACATATTATAAACAAATACTCATATGACATTATTTACGAGAAAAGAGAGTATCTTATTTATATATTTATAGTATTACTCCATGTTACAAATAAAGTAAAAAAAAAATATATATATATATATATATATTTAATAGTAGGAAAGAATTTTTCAAAACAAACGAAGATCTCTCTTTATATATTCAAAAAATATTAATGATAGTGAAATCGTAAGGATGATACTGTAAACAAAATAAGTTACGGTGACATATTCTTTTTTGATCAACAAGTACTTTTACCCATGCCACGCACGGGGTTAAATGAAATTGTAGGGTATATGATTTCAATGTGGATTTTTAAAATGACTTGAATTTTATGGCACGTATTACTTAAACGTCAAATAAAAATTATCAGGTTTAATATATTTCTACAAATCTATAACTTTTTTCCTGTATAAATTCAAAAATATATTAATATAAAAGTATTAGTGATCTAATGATTCTTTTCCCTCGCATTACTTTTAAAAAATATAAATTACCAATGTTATAATTCTATAATTAAAAATATGATTCTTCTCCTCCATATTAATTAAGATTAGCGAAAATGTATTCTTCTCTCCCGCATTATTAAAAAATAGAGTAAATTACATAATTGATCTTTTATAACATGGGGGTTTCCCTATTTAGTGCTCTATTATCAAATATTACCCCGTGGTCCTTCTTTTATGGGTATCTTTCCACAAATAGTCTTTTTTTGGTCTTCTATCATGTTGGTGTTAATTTAAGGGCTAAAAGTGTAATTTCACAATGATAATATATTTTTTTTGTCATTCACATTTCCAAAGGTTGTTTCGTTTACGTCGTTTGTGAATTACAGTCGCTTTCAACTACGATCATTGTCTACAAACGTGGTCTTTCGTCGGAATCCTAGTCCACAATCATAGTCATTATTTTTGTGTTATTTGCTTAACCAATATCAGAACACGTTACTAGACATAATGTTGATGTCAAATTATATTTTTAGTCTTTAAATTAACACCAACATGACAGAAGATCAAAAAAGGACCATTTGTGGAAAGGCACCCTTAAAAAAAAGACTACAAAGGTAATATTTGATAATAGAGGACTAAATATGGAAAGGGAGAAAAACCAAAATAGCACTCTAAGAGCATTAAAATACTCTAAATAGCAGTGCTATATGTTTCATACATGTAATTCTGATTTTGTCCTTTAATTAAAAATTAAACAGTATATGTTCATTATTCACTGCCAAAAAATATGATTATTTTGGGCAGTGTGGTTGTTCACTCGTAATTGTGTAGTGGGCAGTGTAGTTTTTTATATGTGAGTTTTTTATGTGGCAGTGTAGAATGAATATATGTTGTTATATCTTACGGCGATGTGTAAATGTATTATTGTGTTCCTTAATTTCATGTTGTAGTGTAATGTCCATTGATTTATGTGGCAGTGATTTCACGTATTAATTCTACACTGTCAAAAAATGTATGACTAATTTCATCTATGAATTCCACACTGCCCAAAAAATGTATAGCTCTTTTTATGTATGAATTCCACCTTATTTTCATGTATGAATTCCACACTGCCAAAAATGTATATGATTGTTTTCATTTATGAATTTCACACTGCTAAAAAATGTATGACTAATTTCATGAATAATCTATTATACCAAAACACACTGGCCAAACATGGGCTTGGCTTTTTTTGATCTTTCTTGATTTTGAATAATGTTAGAAGATGTTAGTATTAGACATATGTTGAATTTCATTTAGAGTGCTACGTAGGGTGATTTCTTGTTTGTTTAGAGTCCTACGTAGCACTCTAACTCATATAATACTACGCATTTAGCACTGCTTATTGTTTATTTACCAAATTAGCTATTTATGTTGTCAATCTCTTTCAATCATACCCTTTATGTTATCAATCCCTTTTATTCATCCCACTATCAATTATTTCAATTTCCCTTTCAACTCCTATATCAAATTCGGTCTCACATAATGTATACTTTGTGCATAGTGGCATAATACTCTTTTTTATCAAATTTTTTCGTCAATCAATTAAATGTAGTTTGAATAAATATATATAATAAATATATGATATATCAAAATTATATCATAAAAATATGCCAATTATAAATACTTCTTTTATCCCAAAATAGGGCTCTTATTCGATTTACGATGTTTGATTGAAATTATTTTCAAATCAATATTAGTAAAAATTATTGTATAATTAAAAAATAGGAATTATATATTAAAAAAACTACATAAAATTTTTTATAAACAAGTGGTGACAATGTGACTTACATATAAAACTACCAATTTATAAATTATTATTTGATTTTCATATTGTGCAAATAGCTTGTGGTTGATTTTATGACAATAGAGTTTTACCATGAAAGAG